AAATCAAAACGTCAAATGTTTGCAGTTAAATATGTAATTACCATTACAATCAATAATTGTGCCTTATTCCTTTATAAACACAATATATACCCGCATAATGTTTCCCCACACACTCTCAATAGTCAATAAATTATCTTATTTTAGTAAAATTTCAAAATACAAATTCAAATGTTTTAAAACTGTATAAATATTTTTAAATTTTATTTTTGTTTTGTTTGTACTTTATTTGATAACAATGAAAATACCCTTTCCATATATCTGTTATGGGTTCTCAATAGTAGAGCAGATCTTTGCTTTGGGTACTTAATGATGATTTTTCCCTGCGTAATTATTTTATAGATTTTTTAAAAATGTTTAATTTAGATAATTTTACAGCTTCTATTTAATTTATCAATTTTAAAATAGCAGATAAACAGAAAACAATCTTAATGTTTGGTAATACAAACTAACAATACGAGGCTCAAATATTTTTTTGGTAAAAACAGTTGATTTCCGACTAGAGGAGTCTTAAATAAATGAGAGTGTCTCATTATTATGTTTAGTATTCCCATAAATAACAAGTTATCTTTCAAGAAATTTAATTCTATACAGACTTATCTTGGAAAAAAAAACAATAAATTATTATAAGTTTAGCCATCTCAGTTTGGGTGTTCGTTTTTATATTCATTTTTTTGTCTAAATTTGCTAACTTTTAAAAATTTTAACTTTTAAATTTAGTACCTATCAAAATTTAGTCGTGTGTGGTTCTTGATTATTTTAAAAATCGTTTACGAGGTAAGATATACAAAGAGACACAAATTCCATCAACTGAGCGAGTTTGATAGGGAGCGGTGAGCTGGCCTAAGAGAAGCATGATTTTCTTTTAGGAAAATTGTGGATAGGGTTCACAGAAGTTTAGATCCTGTGTTAAATGTTATCGCCAGGTATGACGTTTGACGTTAAGAAGGCCGATCATAAAGATCGAGAGGTACGAGGTGATCATTTCTATGTCACTTAGTATAATTATTATATACTATTTCAAAAACTTATTGACTCTTATACTAACCATTTGACGGATGAGTCTGACCTGAACCTGAGCTTTCAAGAGTTTTCGTCGTAGACAAAACCGACGTAAACGGAGCCACGACTAGAAGTATTTAGATTAGACGTTGGTTGGTCATGTAATAAACTTTCTTTTTTTGTTACATTTATAAAGGTATGATTTAAAAAAATTCAAAGAGTCATCGATTATCTGTTAAATTTATCTCTGTTAAATTTTGTTGAATACAGATATAACAATTTCAGCCATTACAACAAAATAATATCGAAGAAAGGGTTCGTACTACTTGAAAAACCTCCTCAAGAATTTCTCTCCAGTCATCCCTTTCCATCGCCTTTCTCCGTCAAGCACGTATTCCCATATTTCTCATCTCTTCATTGGTGTTTTCAAGGAACCTTGTTCTGGGTCTTCCTCTTCTTCTCTGGCCAACGGGTCTATCACGGAGCGTTTTTCTAGCTAGGTCATTTTGTACCATCCATGCACTATCTACCTCAGACGTTCTATTATAATATGTTTTACAATATCAGGTTCCTGGTATATTCCATAAAGTTCGAAGTTATATCGTCTTCTCTACATCTTAGTACTACATCGTAACATGTTTGCATTATTTTTTGTTATAGTCCAGGTCTCTGAACCACATGTTTGGACTGGGCGTATTACTGTTTTTTAGAGTTTTATTTTTGTATCTTTGTATTGAGCCAAAATAGCATCTGTGGGCTGTGCAAATTCTGCGGTTTTATCTCTGCGGCAGTATTATTTTTAGTGTTAAGGAGCGCTCCCATGTATAGGAATTCGTTCACTGCTTCAATGACGTCGTTTTCTATAACAAGTGGTCGTAGTATTTGTAGTTGCGTGCTTATTTTCATATACTTGTTTTGTTGGTATTAGAATTCAAGGCAAACACAAATCAATGTAGAAGTTTGAATGGCGATCTATTAACAACAATAACAGACGTACTAAATCGATGGACAGAATATTTTAACCAAATACTTAATATAGAAGAAGAAGAAAACCCGGAAGACGAAAGCTGTGAGGTAAGCGGAGCAGACGAGAGGGAGGAGAACCCACCAAGGGAAGTTAAAGACGCTGTCAATAAACTAGCCAGAAACAAATCACCCGGAATAGATACTCTTCCAGCGGAATTATATAAAGAAGGTGGCCACGATATCACAATAGCGCTACAGCAGCTTATAAAAGAAATATGGATAGAGACGTCCCTACCCTGTGATTGGAATATTGAAATACTTTGCACCATACACAAAAAGGGAGATATCTTTGAATGCTCTAACTATCGAGGAATTACGCTCCTAAATACAGCGTATAAATATTCTCCAATATACTATGCCATCGTATGGCACCGTATGCAGAGCAAATAATAGGATAATACCAGGCTGGTTTCAGAGGTGGTAAATAACAATTCATCAGATTTCAACCCTGAGACAAATTCTAGAGAAAACACTGGAATATGGTGTAGAGACTCACCACATATTTATAGACTACAAGGCAGCCTACGACTCTGTAAATAGAAGAGAATTGTTTAGAGCAATGATAGACCTGGGAGTACCAAATCAGTTGGTAAGTTTAACCACTCTAACCCTTGAAAAAGTTGAATGCAGAGTACGAATCCAGGGGGAACTCTCTGAACCTTTTAATACAAATAACGGGCTACGTCAGGAGACCCACTCTCCTGTATACTATTCAATATAGCTCTGGAAAAAGTAAAACGTCCGTCACAAATCACAACTATCGGTTCAATATATAATAAATCTGTGCAAATCCTAGCATATGCTGATGATATCAATATTGTTGGGAGAACGGAAAAACGCAGCACGAGAGGCGTATGTAGCACTAAAGGAAGCGGCTACAAAAATGGGTTTAATAATAAACATTAATAAAACGAAATATATGAAAAGTAGGTCCGCAACCACAAATACGACGGCCACTTGTTATAGAAAAAGACGTCATCGAACCAGTTAACGAATTTGTATACCTGGGAACGCTCGTCAATACTGAAAATGACATTACCGCAGAGATAAATCGCAGAATTTGCACGGCTAATAGATGCTATTTTGGGCTTAATCTCCTTTTAAAATCCACAGCTATATCAAGAAATACAAAAGTAAAACTCTACAAAACAATAATACGCCCAGTCCTAACAAATGGTTCAGAAACTTTAACAAAAAGCAATGAAAACATGTTAGGATGTTTCGAAAGAAAAATACTGAGGCGAATCTATGGAGAGGTAAATGAAAATGGTGTCTGGAGAAGACGATACAACTTCGAACTCTATAGAATATACCAGGAACCAGATATCGTAGAACACATTAAGATAGGATGTCTGAGGTGGGTAGGCCATGTAATGCGGATGGAGCAAACCGACCCAGCTAGAAAAACGCTCCTTAATAGACCTATTGGTCAAAGAAAAAGACCCAGAACAAGATTCCTAGATAACATAGACCAAGATATGAGAAATACGGAAATACGTGCTTGGCAGAGGAAGGCGATGGATAGGGACGACTGGAAGAGAATTCTTGGGGAGGACCCACACTGGGTTGTAAAGCCAAAATGATGATGATGATGATGTTTTGTTGGTTATTATTATTAAATCCATTTTTATAGGATTGGGCGTATTATTGTTTTGTAGAGTTTTACTTTTGTATTTCTTGATATAGCTGTAGATTTAAAAAGGAGATTAAGCCTAAAATAGCATCTATTAGCGTGCAAGTTCTGCGGTTTACCTCTGCGGTAATGTCATTTTCAGTATTGACAAGCATTCCCAGGTATACAAATTCGTTAACTGCTTCGATGATGTCGTTTTCTATAACAAGTGGCCGTCGTATTTGTGGTTGCGGACATATTTTCATGTATTTCGTTTTATTAATGTTTATTATTAAACCCATTTTTGTAGCCGCTTCTTTTAGTGCTACATACGTCTCTCGTGCTGCGTTTACCGTTCTCCCAACAATATTGATATCATCAGCATATGCTAGGATTTGCACAGATTGGTTATATATTGAACCGCTAGTTGTGATTTGTGACGTACGTATTACTTTTTCCAGAGCTAGATTGAATAGTAGGGCACAGATTTCTGTTGCTTCAAAAATCTCTTTAAACTCTATTATAAGAAATGTATTCCAAGTGAATAATATTCACTATCGATGATGTCTTCTACAGCAAGAGATTTCCTTTAATTTGTGGCAAAATGCAAAAATTGTATACGAGTGCTGTACTCGTCACCTTTAAAACGCATTTTGATTTTTATCTCAGGTATATTTTTTACTGGAATTTTTTTTCTATAGGGTACACATTATCCATAGTAAATCCATTTTTTTGCTCTCCCTGCTCCTAAACTTTTTGCATACTTTTTGGGGGCCCAAAATTAATATTCTCAGCGAAATTTAGTTTGTTCGTATAATTTTTTGAGGTCAAATCTTTGACAACTGGACTAACGAGGAATATCACACGAATGAATGACTAAATTGGATATACGATAGCAATTATCGGAAAAGGAGATACAGATACAGATTGGAGTGGGTAGAAGACAGTTAAGGAATCTTATATTACTATTTTATAATATTAATCAATTGTAAATTTAGATAGAACGATTGCTTTAAACAGGTACATAAAAATAGTTTATAGCCTACAAGTTAGCTGTTTTTCTAAAAATATTTGAGCCTGTATTAATGGTTTGTTTATATAATATACATATCCAATATACACCATATTATATTCATGCATAAATACATTCAAAAACTAAATGCCATTTTAGTTTATTGCTGTTTGAAATATACGGCTACAAAAAATTTACGGCTTACAGCAAACAAGTATTTTATTTAATGAAGGTACCATATTGCTATTTATTTTACCCGTAAATGATTTTGCCATAAAGTCAATACAATAACACTATAAATGACATGTTAGAAACTCGTAATAAATAAAAAAAAATTAATAATTAAATTACCTGACATTTGTGTGGCACGCTGGCATAAAATCCATCGTGCAGTCCATCGCACTTAAATGTAATATTTTCTGGAACCCTTTCGTAAAATGGATAATCAGATAGGTTATAACCATTCAATTCTTTTGGCAAATTTGGATCGTATATGTAATCTATTTGGGGAATACCAGTTAGATGTGGTTTGGTTGAATTTCCGCTACCATCGGCATTGGCTTCAGTTGAATCCACCTGGAAATAAATTAAACTTATTAGACATATTACTTGTTAAAACTATTAACCAGGTGTTTGAATAATAATAGTTCTTTACACCGATAGAAGTAGCGCCAAAGGGTATCAAGAAGGATGTAGTCTATGTCTTGGACCTACTATCTTCAAAAAAGGTAAAAGTGCCAGTGTTAAACCTCCTTTTATCACTTTTGATTTTACTTAAGGTACTAAGTTTACTTAGGCTGAGTTACCTGAGAACTCGGATGTTTTTAAAAATATCTACATGTTTTCGTTGCATGCGAATAGTAGCTACATGCCGGTACGCTTATTAATAATTGTTAAAAGCTCAGAAAATCTAACAAATTACTATTCTGGATGCTACCAGAAACTTTATTGGTAATTTTTTTGTAAACCCCGTTCTTTTATGTACCTATCAAATAAATCTATACAGTAAATCCTTTCGATTAATTTTAATGATTATTGTAGTGCTAAAGCTGGTTTTTCCTATTACTGAAGGTAGTTGAGGCATTTAAATGAATGTAAAACTAAAAATATTAGTACCAAGGTCACAAATTGTCTATAAATATTATTATTGTTCCGAAGATATTTTCTTGTGGTATCTTAATGCAATTTATTATTTTTTATTGGGAATAAACCAGACTTTTACTTTTTACTAAAAAGAAGTTTATTTAACGTTACAATTTCCACTTCGGAAATCTTTCTAAAAATACAAAACATGAATAAATTTAACAAATTTTGTTTTTGTTACTTGGTAAAAATATTCTTCTAATTTTTTTTATCGTATGGCACTTGACACATTTACATTTAAATTTACACATAATTTGTATAAAACATAATACATATATGTTTACAAACGGACATCTAACTTATTTATATATTCTATCGACTCTGGAGTCGCCATTAGGAAATCCTCTGACTTGCTTTGATAGAATCTTTGTAGGACACTGTTCTGTGATGTGACAGATTGTTTGTGGTTGTCCGCAGTCACAGAGTGAGGATGGTCGTTTACCCCATTTGTGCATCATATAACCGCATCTGCCATGTTTGGTTCTGATTCGGTTCAACACAGTCCATGTGTTGCGTGATAAGTCCAAAACCTGGTGGTTTTTGTGTGATGCAGGGTAAGGTGCTACTTTGTTGTTCCATCCATTCTCGAGTCCAAGTGGTCGTTAAGTTGAACTCATTTTCCACTGCAATCTGTGCTGTTTTTATTGGCGGCCGTCTGGAGCGCAAACGGTTACCGTTGGCAGCATCTATATCTTGATGAATTGTCTGGGTTCTCTGGAACTGGCTAAGTATCTTTTGGTACTCACTGGTGAGGGAGTGTATACGCCATAGTCTGGGTGGTGGAATGTGGCTCAGCCACATTCCACCACTGGGAGCCACTGGGAGCCATTGCTTAGGGGTGGATTTGATAACACCAGTAATCATTCTCATTGTGTTATTCAATTGGACATCTACTTTGTGTGTATGTGGGCTGTTAAGCCACGCTGAAGAGCAGTATTCCGCGGTTGAGAAAAAGAGGCCCAGGGCAGAAGAACGCAAGGTACAAGACGATGCTCTCCATGTTGTGCCGCACAGCTTCTGGATGATGTTTTTTCTGGATTTAAGTTTTTGCGCTGTTTTTTACAGATGTTCCTTGAAAGATAGAGTTCTATCAAGAGTCACCCCAAGGTACTTTGGTGTTTTATTGTAGGCCAGTGTGGTGTTTTCGAATTGGACGTTCAGTATTCTTCCTGCAAGCTTGTTAGTTAGGTGAAAATTGGAAACCTCTGTTTTGGTAGCGTTTGGTTGGAGCCTCCATTTACGGAAATACTTTTCCCACTATGTGTAAGTCTGCTTTAAGGATTCTTCTAATAATTTAATTTTATCTGACCCATTCAAATTGACAAATTAGACATATATTATACATTTTCAAGCAGATGACTTTAAAATGATATTGTTAATATTTTTAAGTTACGTTCTAGGGATAACTTTATTAAAAATTATTCGATTACATAAAATCAACTTTAACTTAAGAATATCTGTCAGATAAATCATACCATGTGATTTGTCTTTAAAAAGACAACCACATTCAATGATGACGGTAAAATTTTTCTGTTAGTAATCCCATAGTAAGAACATCATGAGAAAAAAACCAGGAAAAAACCTCATAATACTATCCCGACATAATAAGTATTTGGTCTTACATTTAGTTTACTCTCAATATTAACACCAAACTCTATGAATGTTATTTTAAAACATTAATGATGTATCCTCCATATGTTATTGACTTATAAATAGTGGTATTTTCTTTGGTTTCTGGTTTCATTTAACATAGTTAGAGCCCCTTTTTTGTGATGATCTTGACGTTTCACCTAAAGAAAAATGTTCGCATTTACAAGGTATTTTATAAATACAATTATAGCATATCTGTGAAACATATACAACAAATGTGACAGAATAAAATATAGAGGATGAATTAAAAACAACTCTATCTCAAGGTACACCACTTACACACTAAGGTTCGTTTAAAGAGCGAATGGAAAAACAGATTGTGGATTTTGAGCAGTAAACAGTTTTCGTGTAGGAATATCATTTTCTAATAAGCTGTTCGGCTTAAAACAGTTAAAAGGTAGAAGAACAGCTATAAATATGGAAATACATATAGTATTCATTGACATAAAAAATGGTGGTACTCCTAACGTACTTCTCACAGGCCCGTCAAAGTTAGACTAAATATTAAATTAATAATAAATACATATCATTTGATATTAAATTTAATTATTATATAAACTAAATACAATAACAAATTATGATGAGTTCCGACATTTTATAAAACGAACTCTTATTGCATAAATGAACTGTCTGCTGTGACTGTATAAATATGTAAATTCAACTTAAAACGTTTTACTAATAACTAACTCATTTTGTCGCACTTTAATACAATAGTCGAACTGATAATTGTAAAAACCTGACATTGTATTTACATAAAATTATTATATGTAGAACAAGAATTAGATGAAATTTCTGACTTTTAAATTTTGACCTTTTGACAACCGTTACAATTCCAATTCTAGTATGATCTTTTATTTTTGTGCTTGTTTCACTACATCTTTTATTGACATATATATTCTTTTATAACGTTCTCCGCCATTTTCCGACTTCCAATCGCCACCTAGTCCAGTTGTTCCAATCGCCACCTAGCCAGGTTGTTCAATAGGTCCTCTTCTATGGCCCTCCTTCTCAGTTCTTTATTTATTCCTTCGCTCCAAGTTTTTCTCGGTCTACCTCGTTTTCTCTTTCCTTATGGTTGCCATTTTAATATTTCTTTTAGTATTCGTTGTTCGTCCATTTTTTGTATGTGTCCGAACCAGATAAGTTGTTTAGTTGTTAGGTCATATATGATTGTTCTTTTGATTCCCTTTATTTCTCTAGTGCGTTCGTTGGTAATCCTTTCTCTTCTAGATCTTCCTGCGGCTCTTTTCCAAAAATCCATTTCCTTCGCTTTCAGCGTTGCAAGTGTTCTTTCTTTCAGTGGCCATACCTCACAGCTGTATAAAGTGATAGTTTTTACTATAGTCTCATATATCCTATTTTTATTTTCTTTGCTAATGGATTGGTTTCATAAAATGTATAACATTGTGATGGCTTTTCTCCCTAACGTATTTCTCTCTCTTATGGCTTTGTCTCATGTTCCTTCTTGTGAAATAGTGATACCTAGATATTTGTAATCACAGCAGTTCTTTATCGTGGTGTTATCGTTTAATATGAGATCTTTTTGTTCTACTCCAATGCACATGTATTCGGTTTTCTATTTATTTACTTCTAGATACCATATTTATTATACTCTTCAATTAATTTCCCTACCATATAGTTTAAATCGTCATAATCTTGAGCCATTATTACTTGATCGTCTGCAAAGTTGAGCGTATAGACCATAGTATTGGTGAGCGGTATCCCCATTATCCTGCATTTTTGTTTCCATCTTTTCAAAGCACTTTCGAAGTATATTTTAAATAACGTGGAGGACAGACAACATCCGTGCTTTAATCTTTTTGATGTTATAAATACTGTTTTTATATGTGTCCCTGCTTTTATTTTTGTTATTGGTTGGTTGTATAGCACTTTGACGGCTTTTATTAATTCTGTATTAATATTCGTGCTTTTCATTGATTGCCACAGCTTCTTCAGTGGAACGCTGTCGTAGGCTTTCCGTAGGTCGACGAAAACATATGAATCTCTTGATTCCACGCCATATTTTTTTCTATTATCTGTCGACACTACAGAAATCACACATTTGAGGTGGTATTCTCGTATATCTTATAGACGAAGACAGATGGCAAAAAAACTGTCAAAATGAGTATCAAAATAAAGAAGAAGGAGAAAACTCCGTAATTAATTTTACTTGTAAAGTTTAATTATATTCCAAAATATAAAGAGAAAAAGTCGTGAACGTTGTTTTTAAAAGGATAAAGAAGCAGCCACTACTATTCATTACATTTTGAGTGGTTACTGAAATTCTTGCTGTTCATTTGAGGTATAGATGTTGCCTTTTGGTTTATTTGACTCTAATTCATGACGTCCTATTTTTTCTTGTTGAACAGGATTGTTACATATCATTTATGCAATCATATATATTATAATCTACATATCTAGAAATATTTGACTATTTTAACTAAATAAATTCATCAAAATACAACCAATATAACATAAAAAAAATCCAACTTGATTTAGCGGTTTCCATTGACATTTAAAAAATGTATCTCTCTACTTTCGATTTTTATTGATAAAAAACTAGTCTTTATAAATTATTGCATTATATAATACTTGTATTTTCTTTTTCTGTTTCTAGTAAACTATCTATAATGATAATTTTGTTGAATAATAACGAAGGATTTGTTATACATTGTTTGTCATACAGTTTATGGATTTAAAAAAAAAATTCTTCATGTACATGATGACCTTTATTATTTTAAATTGATTCTTGTATTTTTAATACATAATGTATTGGATATAAATTTCGAGAAGGAATGTAACATCGTCATTGAACGAGGTCTTTAAAGTTCGCGCATCGAATTATAGGTGATATAATACGCGAAACGATGATGTGGAGTAATGCAAGTGCTTCAAAGGCACTTATACAAGAATGGTACGAATAGTACGGTATATATTTTTAAGTATTTAAGTATAATATTCTTGTAGTGACTTTTTATTAATAACAATATAATTTCCACAACTAAGCTTTGATACTGTTAGTTTCTTGATTACGGATTGTTTAATTCGCACGATTTAACCTCAGAAGATTTCCGTCTCATTTGAGGTTTCAATGCGTTTATATTTGCTAAAGTATTGATATTAATTAAACAACATTTAAATATTACCGCCATATGTCATTTAGTGGAAGTTAGGGTTGGTAAAATGTAAACTGTTAATTGTATTCACTTTCGGAACAAAATAAAGTTAGTTTTAACTATATACTCAACAGTTTAATTTCATTTACAAGTTTTACGAGGTTATAGTGGGCCAGACCATGTTTTTTGTCGGTAAATAGATAAACGTTGTATCCTAGTGAGTGTTAAGGTTTAAAATGGCAGTGTATTTCATGTCTACGGTTGCCTAAGTTGTTAGACCGCGACAATTGCGATGTTTGGGATCCAAAATTTTGAACTAATTGGAAAGATTAACTTGATAAATGGTGTGTACAAATTAAATATTAAGGTTAATAAATATTTTGAAAATTATTAATTTGTCAACGGCTAAACATGGCATAGAAGGTTTGGCCATATAAACAGTGTTTATTTAAATAACATAAAAGATGGAATAGTAGATGGACTGGAATGTGACTGGGGAAATTGACATTAAAATACAACACTGTATAGTTTGTTGTGGTGACAAACATAAACGATTATCGTTTCCGCAGCAATATTACAGAGCCAATACTGTATTGAAGATTGTACACACTGATGTATGTGGACCTATGGAGAAAAATTGAATATTCAAACGTTTGAATTGGACAATTGTAGAAAATGCAATGTGTCTTTTGTTTGATGTCAATCTTAAGGAAAGCTTAAAGCTGTAAACACAGCTGTTCCTTAAAAAATGTATCTTTGGCTTCTGGTTTAAACAAAACACCGCTTGAAATGTGGCCAGGTAGTAAACCTAATGATGGTGGTCTTCGAATAATTGTCAGCAATGTGATGCTACAGGTTCCAAAGAAATTATAGTAAGCAGAGGTGTACAAATTATGGAAGATACAAACAAGTTTGAAGTGATTCATTTTGATTTAAAAGATGAACATGAGGCAAAAGAAACTCTAAATTCAGGATAACAACAACAAAAAAAGATATTGTTGAAAACTAAGAATAAAAATAATATTTGTAGTAACGAAACATCTACCTACTATGAGGAAGATAACAATTTGTAAAGACTTTGAAGTGACCAATTTACCTGAAACATTACAAAAAGTATACAGAAAGTCAGAACGAATAAGAAAAAGAAAAGACTTTAGTGAATATGTAACATGTGTCTTGCAAGACTAGTGGCTGAGGGTTTTAATCAAAGAGATTATATAAACTATACAGAAACTTTTGCGCCAGTAATAGGACATTCTTCTTTAAGGTTGTTTTTTTTACTTTCTATAAAATTAGGTTTAGATATTACTCATTTAGGTATTAAAATAGCATTTATAAATGGTCATTTGAAAGGGAGAATATATATGCAATCATCAGAGGGTCTTGATTTAGCAGGTAACAAATGTTTAAAACTAAATAAGGCTATTTATGGCTTTAACGGTCTTCTAGGGCCTGGAATTATCAAATAAATAATATATTGGAAAATATTAATTACAAAAAATCAAAACATAAACCTTGTATCTATATAAAAACAGAAAATAATAAAATTACGGTCGTAGTATGAAGATGTTTTTTTGTACTTTCAAATTATAAAAGTGAAACAAGTAGACTCAAAAATGAGCTGAAAAGTAAATTTGTTATTAAAGATTTGCAAAGATTGTTATTATGCAAATATACTTTGATCCAAATAAAGGTTGTATTGCTTTGAACCAGAAAAACTATATTTCAGTTGTTAAAGAGATTTATGTAACATGAGTGCTGTCAAAGGTATTAAAACTCCAACTGAACCAAAGTTATTTTTAACAATGGATGATAGTAAAAATTGTATTAGAGATAAATTTCCTTATCAGAGGCTAATTGGCAGTTTGATATATTTATCTGTCTTAACCAGACCAGATATATTTACAGTCAGTTTCTTGAGCTAATTTTATAATGTATATAATGAGTCTCATTGGAAATTTACAAAAAAAGTATTGAGGTTTAAAACACACTATTAACTATTCTTTGATTTACTTAAAAGTTGATTCAGAATTACAATGTATTGTAGATGCCAATTGGGCAAGCAATGCGTTAGATCGTAGATCCTTTACTAGATGTATTTAAACTTTGTGGCTCTGCAATATCTTAGCAAAGTGCAAAACAAAAAACGGTAGCTTTATCTAGCTGTGAGGCAGAATATATGGCCTTGTTAGAGGCTACTAAAGTGGCTGTTTTTCTTAGGGGTTTGCTAAGTAATTTAATTGAAAAAAGTGAATGTATTACTTTATTTAACAATAATCAAAGTGTATTAAACTTATCAGCAAATCATTTTTTGAGAGATCTAATATCTGAAACAATCATTATTGTAAAATATATGCCAACTAATGTTTTACAGCTAATATGCTGACTAAAGTTCTAGTTGCTGAAAATCTGCACAGAATATGGAAACTATTATGTATAGGTAACCTATAAATTTTATTTTGTTGATAAGTGGAAGTGTTAAAATATTAATATCAGCTAAAGAAAATTTAAATATTAGAGCCAAGAGTTAGTCTTAACTGTTTACTCAACTTATTCGTTTCATTTACAATACTTCTGATGCCTGAATGACTTCAATTCTGATGACTTCAATGCACGTCTGAATAGACAGAAAAGTTTATTTATTCGTATCAATCAGACTCAAAAACCACGCCACAAGCGAAAGGCATTTATCAACGGTATTCATACCGACTTGTTTGGCGCAATTCCAGAGGACCCTATTTGTAGATATATCCTTCGAATATAACGAGAGATATTTTTAAATTTCTAAGCATATTTAATAATATAATCGTCCGTTATCATTGGCAGTAATAGACCGATATAATAAAAGCACCGTCTATTATTCAAGTCCAAAAAATCATAGTCACAATGAAGTTGCCGTTCGAATTAAAAATAACATAAATAACTCAGATTTTGGATATAACGCTAATGAAGGTATGATATCTTGTACGTCTTATAATAAGCCCATTCAACCTTAACCTTATCCAAGTTTATGCGACGTTTACAGCTCAAAAGTTGAAATTGACACTTCTATAACCAGTACCTTAGAGACAACAATAAATAAGACCTTAGGTCGACATATTATTACCAATAGTTATTCACCGACAGTGCTAAGATAAGCTAATCTACTGTAAACTTTGACATCAGAAAAAGAAGTGAGCGAGAAGAACTACTGCTGAAATTGTGTAATTAATAACAACTATGTCGTTCTCACATTGGTCTCACAAGTCATGTTTCGTATAATATACAGTATGGAAACCAAATAATTTAAAGGTACACGTCAATTCACGCAAGTCTAGCCTAGTCAATAATTCTTATATTCAATGAAACACCCTTTATATTTCTGTTTTTGAAAGCTCCTAATTAGCCTGATCTCAACAAACTGTATTATGTAAAGTCTATTATGAATAATACAAGGTGATATTATGTTGACACTTAGTTTAAAAAATTGATCTCTGTATTTAGCCAATTAAAAAAAATACCAACATACTTATTTTATAATTTTATGTAGGTATGTAGTGTTGATGAAAATTATATATAATTCCAAAATTTGACCTTTTATTGTTTATAAGGACCCTACATAATATAGTTCGTTGAGATGAGGTTATCCAATGTATTTGATTAAAAATAATGATTATGAACTATGTCAGACTTGCGAGCCACCTTGTACATTTAAATTTGTTTAAAAGCGCATATTTATATTTAAAAAGTGACAAGTCTCAGACTTTTTATACTTTTTAAAAATAAGGATACAAGAATTTTTATTCCATAAATGGTTTTCGCACTGTATGAAAATTTTGGAATCCGAAATCGAGCAGGCACAATTTGGATTTAGAAACGGATTGGATAATAGAAAGCTCTGATTTGCATAGAATATTTTAATACAGCGATATTTAAATCTTATTAGATATTTTTTTGTTTTCTAAATTACACTAAAGCGTTTGATAATGTAAAATATAAACCATTGATGCAATTAGTCAGAAATAAAAACATTGTGGTACGAAGGTGAGCACGTATAAATAACTCCGTATAAAAAAAACAAAGATAAAAAGTTTATTAAAATCTCAATAGCCTCTCCAGAGATTATGTTATGGTTTGGCGATATAATGTAAAAGCTTGTAGTCTAAAAAAACAATACGTGAAAAGCAAGAAGCATTGGATAATGGCTATGTCGAATAATCTTGAAAAACTCTTAAAAGAATAAAATTACTAACTAGGAATTTTTCTCCAAAAGATGAAAAAACAAACAGAGATAGCAGTGACAATTAAACCATATGAAAGTAGAGTATCGGGAACATAGCAAGCGCGGAGATGCACACCAAATGTTACGGTTGATTATGAAAGGAAAGATTCAAGACAAGACAAAGATACATAGGGAGGAGAAGGATATCTTGGTTGAGAAACATCAGAGAATAACTTCGTTTCAGTTAAATCCAACTGTTTTGAAAACCATCCTCGTAAGTTAAAATTGACAAGATTTAACAATCCTTAACAGAAAATATGGCACTTAAAAAAGGAAGTAGAAGAAATGTAGAAACAATAAATTTCTCACATATATTTCAATCATTGTGACAAAAACTACAATAATTTTTAACAAATTACTGCCTTAAATTATCTTTGATAGTCCTATCAGATAAAAAGTAAAATAAAATTCGTTTCAGGTTACCATTTATTTAAAATCAATCCTTGAACCTTGAAAACGAGTAATAATTTGCACATAAATGTCTTCTTATCTTTGCACAGAATTTAAAATATAATTTTTTTAAACATTTAAAATTCATTCGAACGAAAAAATTATATTTTTTGTTCGTTTTATAACATAAAGTTTACAAATTTTTTGTTATTGAAAAATTTACCGCATCCACCCTGACGTGATTAACGGGAATAATAACACAGGTCAACAATGAAAAAACCTTTTTGACAAAATTACCTCTATCTTATGTATTTTAGTGTGCTGAGTCCGAAAATCATATAAAAAAATGCTGTATTACCAACCACTCTTTCACAATTTAATATTTAAAATTGCATAATTACATTTTACTTGTTACTTTACTATAGTTACTTGCTTGGTAGCGCTGTTAATGAATTCTACAACAGTCTTTGTTCTTCTTCCTGCAGCTGTATAGTTTCTTTATTCTAATAAAAATATTCTCATTTTTCAGTGTTTGACTCATACGCTTTTAAGTATGGTTAGTCGCGATTGTAAACACTGTTTTTTACAAAACATATGGAATGGAATGGAAACTGAAGATCTCCATTCAGCAATACAGGATAGTTTGAACTATGTTCTCCCAACCATTAATTAATAATGTACAGGCATGTAATGTTTTGTTTATTTACTAATTTATTACAATTCAATAGACTATTTTTATACCAATTTGTGGGTCTTACTTTGTCTGCTTAAACAGTTTATTCATTAAAAAAAAACACAGACATGTAATACTGGCATAATTACTGTAATTTATATCATTTATCTTTTGTTTATCTTTATAAGACAACACCCTAATATGGGTTTTATTATTTCAGCATTTAATTAACTTTGTATCGACAGACCTGAAGATGATTTGCATATTGTAGAAAGCGAAACCGGTCGTCTAGATAGTTAAATTAAACTGATTGTAAGTCTTATTTATTATTTATTTTACCTATTTCCATGTTTTATTTATAAATGGGACAGTAGAGCAAGAGGTAAACACTGGTCCACAAAACAATGTCACATAAGAAATGTTTCAACACCTGGCGAGATGAACATTTTGTACAAAAATTTTGTAAATCCAAAAAAGATCCTCCTTCTACCTCTACACATCAAGTTAGGCTTAATGAAATAGTTTGTTAAGTCCCTGCATAAAGATGGAGAATGTTTCAAGTACGTGAGTGAAAAGTTTCTCTATCTATCAGAAGTCAAAGTGAAAGAAGGTGTTTTTGTTGGACTAGTTATTCGTAAAATGATGTGTGACTTCACCGTTGAAATCAAGATTATTACTAAAGAAGAAAAAGCTAGGATTGCATTCAAAAGAGTTGTAACCAAGTTTTAAAGTAATGTTTATTAAATAAGTTTAAAGATTTGGAATTTCTAATAAGCCTCAA